ACACATCCTAGTCAATCCCAGGCCCAGCTTGACTTAGGCCAGGTCTACACTACCCGCCTGAATCGGCGGGTAGAAATCGACCTCTCGGGGATCGAATTATCGCGTCTCGTCAGGATACGACAATCGATCCCCGAATCGACGCTTCTACTCCACCAGCGGAGGTAGGAGTAAGCGCCGTCGATGGGGAGCCGCGGAGGTCGATTTGCCGCCGTCCTCACAGCAGGGTAAGTCGGCTTCGATACGTCAAATTCAGCTACGCTATTCTCGTAGCTGAATTTGCGTATCTTAAATCGACCCCCACCCCACCCCATAGTGAGGACGTAGCCTGAGGTGTTGAGCTGCAGGCTGGGAGCTATGGATTATGACTCATGTGGTACAAGTTTTTCTCAACCCTAATAGAACTGTGTTTGTTTCGTTTTGTTTTGAGAAATGAAACTTCCCAGTTCTGCAGTGACTGTTTTATGTTGTGGCATCTGGAGACTGCTGCATGTTACCAAAGCGCTAATAAAATGCACTCTGTCAGATGAAATGTTGTGTAAGAATCCTTTGTGGTAAGCTTTGGTGCAGGGACTTCAGACATATGTACAATGAAATGGCAGCTGTACACTGTGATACTGTGTGTTCTGTATTGTCCAACCCTCGTCATAACAATCCCATGTAGGAGAGAAGAGACAGGGCTCTGTTGTAGTGAACATAGAGGGGTTTTCTGTTAGTTCTCTGACTGTAGCCTCCAGTCTGACTAGAAGAACATGTGTTGCTTGTGGTTACCACACAGGGTCTCCCCATGGCCTGTCCTGAGCTAAGCAGTTGTAGAAGAAATTGCTGACTACACCCTATGTGTTAATGAAAACGATTACTGCATAGTGTAGGCGTGGCCATTGCCACCTGCATGTATATTTCGTCCTGTACTCAAAGGGTTAATTGCCATTCCACTATTTCCAATAGAATATGAATGCTGTGCTGCAGAATGTTACCAGGTCTTTCAAGCTGATCACTGCTGGCTAATGAAGCGGTTGGGGGAATACAAAAGGAGCAAAACTAACTTCTTTTGAAATAGAATACAGTGTTCAAAGAACACCATTGAGACGAATGTGAGAAATACTGGGTAGTACAATTCAGCCATGGAAACTGAATTACATTCTAGATTTTGATTTAATTTTGTTTGTATCTTTAGGCTGCAATTCAGCAAAGCACTTGAGTATGTGCTTAACTTGGGGCATGTGCTTAAGTCCATCCCTCTTCGGCAAAGCCCTTAGGCACCCTTTGAACTCAGTGGGGCTTAGGCATATTTTTAAAATCTCTGCTTTTGCCTGGCCCTCCCTCTTCAGAACCACAGCACAGCTGAGCCCTGTTACCGGAGACAAAATGATGGGGAAGACAAGTCAGAGCAACATCACCGCAATGATCACTGTGCAGATTGTATGTTTGCTGACTCCAGCCTCTCTTTTTCATTATCAGGAAACAGTGGATTGGTTCAATGCCATCCGTGCAGCACGGTTCCATTATTTACAAGTGGCGTTCCCTGGAGCTAGCGATGTTGATGTGAGTTTTTCCTTGTCGTTTTTAGCATCTCCTTAACAAGCTGGAAAGCCTGGCGAACCCTCCATTCTTCAGTGTCTGCTTTACAATTATTATGTTCAAATGATTTTGCTGGGAACTAGCGTCCAGGTGCAACACCTGCTACTGCATCTAGCCACAGAAACTGCGGTGGGGGTGTACATTTTAATTCCTGCATTCTCTGTATTGTGCCAGATCCTGTTTCTGTGGTTGTAAAGGGCTGCTTGCTACAAAGCTACGCATTTAAAACGGAGTTTAAAATAAAACGGTGAGGGGGAGAGTGTCTTACCAAAACCTGGCCTTCTGGCTGAGATCAAGTGCAGTGTTGCTTTACAATTTGATGCAGTTTCTGTTGCAAGAATCTGCCTTGCATTTGCTGGAGGCTGGAATTGATGATCTAGCTACAATTTGCAGGGATAGTCACAAAATATAGTATAATATTAGGATGAGTTACCCTTATAATATGAGTGTATTACATTGTAGTTACACTGCAATTACAGTTTAATTACATGATGGTTTTGCTTTTAGATATGTGTAATTACCACTAATTCATATAATCACCAAGTTAACAACATGATTGAGTTATGCACTATTACATCCTTGGTTTTATACCTAATACATATATTTTAGAATCCACTTGCATTAACTAACTAATGATTGTATGAACTAGTGGTAATATTGGTACTGAAAAGCATAATTACTCTGTACTCGCGGTGCAAATGCCGCATAATTATAGTCACTGCAGTGTAACCTTTGTCTAATAAGACTTTTCCATCTCTAAGTACTTGATTCTGTTTAAATTTGTTTGTACACTGCCATATAAAATTCTCATGAAAATTCACAAGCCCTAAACACAAAATCTTTTTGCCTGGCCATTCGCATGATGATTAATGTTCGAAACCTGGTTGCTCTCCCGAAACCATTGACAACAGAAGAAAAACTAATGAGATTTTACGTGCCCATCAAAAGAAATGATTACCTGGTGGGGCTAGGTTGTGAGTAGAATTTTGCAAGCCGGGATGTATGACCTTGGAAGGTAAAATTCTCGTCTTTTTATGCTGGTGGAAAACTCGATCAGACCTTATTGTTACTTACACTAAGGTATCTTACAGAGGGTATTACTGGAATTTATACCCACTTTCAGGCTCTTTTACATTGCTCGAGTGGCGTAAAGCGGCCTAAATGTAAATGAGAATCAGGCTAAGAGCTTCAGGAGACAGATAGGGTAGATATTTTGATATAGACACAAGAACCACAAACTACGCCTTTTAAGAAACCTGCAGCCTTTTATAATGGTTTAAGCTCGCCCGGCCCTGCTACATGAGGAAAGTCTGTGTCCAACAGAAAGGACACTTTGCACACAAAAATACTGCCCCCTGGATGCAGCTTAGCATGATGCTTGGCGGCAAAGGGTTAAGAATCTTGAAGTGATAAAGGTTCTTTCCAGTCAAGACCAAACTACTTTCTGAAAGCAGCTGGCTGCCAGTCTAAAGACTGGAGATTAAGATATTCAGGATCTCTGCAACCTGGCTGTGGGATTCTCCAGGGTGCTTTTTATGTGATCACATAACTGGTTTATCAGAGCCTTTTGTTAGACGGAATTACATGTCACAGGAATATAATTTTTAAAGCTTTGCCATAAATAACTTGTTTAAATGCGAGGCTGGGAGTGGGGGAAGGTGAGAAGTGTTTAATCAGCCCTGTCAGCTCCATTTGCTGGTGAGTCTCACTTTTCTTTTTAAAGAGCCTCACGCATCCATCTGCAGAGATCTCACAGCTAGCAGCTCATCTGCACCAAGCATTTTTAAAAATAACCTAGGCCCTGGTAATTATTGTTGAGTAGATCTCAGCAGAAGGGGAGTTCACAGACATGTGTAATAGCCTTTAAAGGCAGATGGCATATTAGAGCTTGTGGTTCTCCTGTGTGAGCTTTTGGGTCATACTGATCTGAGAACAGGTGAGGAAAGGAGAGAACAACTGGGTGTCTGGGGCTCATACCTGATGTGAAAATGATCTGGGACCAGCTCTTAGGGGCCAATCCTGCAGTCCTTACTCTGCCGAGTAGCCTGTTGGTGTCCCTGGGGCTACCTTCCTGTTTAAGGGTTACAAAACCAGGCCCTGAGTTTTACTCAGCCCTTACTCCAGCAAAACACCCTTTGCGATGAGAACCTCCCAAGTCTGTATTAGTAGGAGCATTGCCAGCAGATCCAGGGAAGTGATTATCCCCCTCTATTCGGCACTGGTGAGACCACAACTGAAGCATTGCGTCCAGTTTTGGTCCCCCCAGTACAGAAGGGATGTGGACAAATCGGAGAGAGTCCAGTGGAGGGCAACGAAAATGATTAGGGGGCTGAGGCACATGACTTATGAGGAGAGGCTGAGGGAACTGGGGTTATTTAGTCTGGAGAAGAGAAGCGTGAGGGGGGATTTGATAGCAGCCTTCAACTACCTGAAGTGGGGTTCCAAAGAGGATGGAGCTCGGCTGTTCTCAGTGGTGACAGATGACAGAACAAGAAGCAATGGTCTCAAGTTGCAGTGGGGGAGGTCTAGGTTGGATATTAGGAAACACTATTTCACTAGGAGGGTAGTGAAACACTGGAATGCGTTACGTAGGGAGGTGGTGGAATCTCCATCCTAGAGGTTTTTAAGGCCCGGCTTGACAAAGCCCTGGCTGGGATGATTTAGTTGGTGTTGGTCCTGCTTTGAGCAGGGGATTGGACTAGATGACCCCCTGAGGTCTCTTCCAACCCTAATATTCTAAGTCGTGTTGATCCCAACCCCATAGGAATTACTGTGAGTTTTGGCACCGAGTTCAGTGGAAGCAGGACTGGGCTGAAGGACTTCATGAGCAACATCTGTAGGACAGTTAAACCATAAATGTGGCTGCCTAGAATGATTCGTCTCTACTTTAACCAGGCTGAATGTTTAAGGACATAGTGTAGCTATTGAAAAGTGAGCCAGGGAACCCTGGCATGGCCCTAAAGCTGAGGGGCAGCGGGCATAGGAAACTGGGACCGTCTCAGGGCTTCCCTGGTGTCTGCTCCCTCCTCAAACCCAGGAGCAGGGATCATCTTTTCACTATGTGTGTACAGCGCCCAGCACAGTGGACCCTGACTGGGGCCTCTAGGTGCCACTGCAATACACGTAATGAATAATTAAATATTATCGCTACATCTTTGGATACAACCCCAGTTCTCACAATATCTTGGGACAACAGGGTCCTGGACTGCAGACTGATTTGGCTTTCTTTGAGGTCAATGGGAGTTGTGCTGTTGACTTTAATGGGGGGCAGGATTAGAGAGCTCTTAGCTAAGAATTTAACAACTGGGAGCTTCAAGTTAGGTCCTAAGTTTATAGTTTGACATTTAAATAAGTGGCCTGATTTTCAAAAGCGCTGAGCACCCAGTAGTCCTCGTGAAAGTCAGTGGAGCTAGTGAGTTCTCTGTACATGTGAAAACGAGGCCACTTATTTGGGTGCCAGATGATGGATAAACCTAACTTAAGGCCTCCAGTTCTCAATATTCTGACCCACCCCCCTCACCAGGTTTCAGAGCTCGAGCAGGAACGTCTACACTGCTGTTTTTAGCCCCGAAATGCGAGCCCGAGTCAGCTGACCTGCGCTCTGAGACTCGCAGTGGCCGGGTGTTTTGGGGTTTTTTTGCAGTGTAGTCATACCTGTATTACAAAGCTAACACGGGGTCAAAGAAACTGAAAAATTCTTATGGGAAGATGAGAGAACAATAGGAATAAATAAATCCACTTTAGTATGCCTTGAGAGTAGTGTCATAAGCTGTCCCCCGCCTGTATGTGGGCCGTAGGTAACTCTTTCTCTTGGCATTTTTTTCCATAAGCTCCCATTGAAATGATAACTGGGGGCTCTGGCAGGACATCACGTAAGCCTGTGTCTGCAACACATCACGTCTCCATCTGTCTAACGTGCACTAACATTGTACTTTTTTTTGCTTTCTTATTTTGACAACTCTAGTTGGTGCCAAAGCTTTCTAGGAACTACTTGAAGGAAGGTTACATGGAAAAAACTGGGCCAAAGGTGGGACATCATGTATTTTGTATTCATACCAAAAATGAGTTTGTTCTGTACTGCGTTGTGATCCACATAACAGTGGGGCAGAGGTGCTTTGGGAGGGTTAAGGTGTAAAATCCAGCCACATACCAACACTTCAATGCCTTTGAAATGATCTCTTTGTTCTGCACCCCACACTGGATTTTATATCCCAGTTTCTTGTGCTCTCCCTGCTACCCATCCTTGTTTCCACTATTCA